ACACATCCCCTTACACACCCACATATCCCCTCAGACCCCCTCACATTACCTCAGACCCCCTCACACCCCCTCACATCACCTCATACACCCACACATCCCGTCACACCCCCACACATCTCCTCAGAGCCCACACATCCCCTCACATCACTTCACACCCCAACACATCCCCTCACAGCCCCTCACATCACCTCACACGCCACACATCCCCTCACATCACCTCACACCCCCACACATCCCCTCACATCACCTCACACCCCCACACATCCCCTCACATCAACTCACAGCCCCATACATCCATTCACACACCCTCACATCACCTCACACCCCCACACATCCCCTCAGACCCCTTCATATCCCCTCACACCCCCACACATCCCCTCACATCACCTCACACCCCAACACATCACCTCACAACCCTTCACATCACCTCACACCCCCTCACACCCACTCACACCCCCACACATCACTTCACATTCCCTCACAACCCACACACATTCCCTCACATCCACTCACACCCCCTCATACCCCCTCACATCCCCACACATCCCTCACACTCCCTCAAATCACCTCACACCCCCTCACACACCCACACACTCCCACACATCCCTTCACACCCCCTCACATTAATCACACCCCAACACATCCCCTCACACCCTCTCACACCCCCAAACAACCCCTCACATCCCCACATATCGCTGCGCAGCTCCTCACACCCCTCACAATACCTTACACCCCCTCACATCTCCTCACACCTCATCCCACGCCCTCACAGCCCCTCACATACCCTCACACCCCCTCACATCCCCACACATGCCCTCACACCCCCTCACATCACGTCACACCCCCTCACATCCCCTCATCACCTCACACCACCTCACATCCCCTCACACCCCCACATATCCCCTCAGAACCCCACACATTAGCTCAGACCTCCTCAGACCCCCTCACACACCCTCACATCACCTCATATCCCCTCACATCCTCTCACACCCCTTCTCACCCCCACACACCCCCACACATCCGCTCACAACTCCAAACATCCCCTCATACCCCCACACATCCGCTCACGTCCCCACACATCCCCTCACATCGCCTCACACCCCAACACATCACCTCACACCCCCTCACGTCTCCTCACACCCCCTGACATCCGCTCACAACTCCAAACATCCCCTCATACCCCCACACATTCCCTCACACACCCTCACATCCCCGCACACACCCACACATCCCCACACATCTCGTCACACCCCCTCACATCCATTTACACCCCCACATATCCCCTCAGATCCCGTCACATTACCTCAGACCCCCTCACACCTCCTCACATCAACTCATATCCCCACACACACCCTCACATCCCCTCACACCTCCACACATCCCCCCCACACCCCAACACATCCCCTCACATCCTTTCACATCCAGTCACACCCCAACACATCCCCTCACACCCCCTTACATCCCCTCATACACCCACACATCCCCTCACACCCCCTCACACATCCTCAAACTCCCTCACGTGTCCTCACAACCCATCCCACGCCCTCACACCCCCTCACATCACCTCACACCCCCACACATCCCCTCACACCCCTTCACATCACCTCACACCCCCACACATCCGCTCACCCCCCCCACATGCCCTCACACCCCCACACATCCCCTCATACCCCTTCACATCACCTCACACCCCCACACATCCCCTCACACCCCTTCACATCACCTCACACCCCCACACATCCGCTCACCCCCCCCACATGCCCTCACACCCCCACACATCCCCTCACACCCCTTCACATCACCTCACACCCCCACACATCCGCTCACCCCCCCCACATGCCCTCACACCCCCACACTTCCCCACACATCTCCTCACAACCCCTCACATCCCTTTACACCCCCACATATCCCCTCAGACCCCCTCACACCCCTTCACATCCCCTCACATCCCCACATCCCCTCAGACCCCACACATCCCCTAACATCACCTCACACATCAACACAACCCCTCACAACCCCTCACACCCCACACATCTCCTCAAATCACCTCACACCCCCTCACATCCCCTCACACCCCACACATCCCCTCACATCCCTTCACACCCCCTCACATCCCCTCACATCAGCTCAGAGCCCACACATCCCCTCACACCCCCACACATCCCCTCACATCACCTCACACCCCCTACATCACCTCACACCACCTCACAACCCGTCACACCCCACACATCCCCTCACATCACCTCACATCTTCTCACACCCCCACACATCCCCTCACATCCCAACACATCCCCTCACACCCCCATACATCCCCTCATACCGCCTCACATTCCCTCACACACCCTCACATCCCCTCACACCCCCTCACATCACCTCACACACCAACACATCCCCTCACACCCCCACACATCCCCTCACATCACCTCACACCCCCACACATCCCCTCACATCACCTCACACCCCAACACATTCCCTCACACCACCTCACATCACCTCATACCACCTCACAACCCGTCACACCCCACACATCACCTCACATCTCCTCACACCCCCACACTTCCCCTCACACATACCCTCACACCACCACACATCCCCTCACACCCCCACACTTCCCCTCACACCACCACACATCCCCTCACATCCCCTCACATACCCTCACACCACCACACATCCCCTCACACACCCTAACATCACGTCACACCCCCTCACATCCCCTCACAACCACACACATCCCCACACATCCTCTCACACACCCTCACATCAACTCACACCCCAACACATCCCCTCACAAACCCTCACATCACCTCACACCCCCTCACATCTCCTGACACCCCATCCCATGCCCTCACACCCCATCACATCCCCTCACACCCCATCCAATGCCCTCACACCGCCTCAAACCCCTCAAACCCGTCCCACCCCCTCACACAGCCTCACATCTCCTCACATCCCCTCACACCCCATCACACGCCCCCTCACACCCTCACATGCACCCTCATACCCTCACAGGCCCTCGCACACCCTCACACGCCACCTCACACCCTCACACGCCCCCTCACACCCCATCACACGCCCCCTCGCAACCTCGCACGCCCCCTCACACCCTCACACGCCCTCGCACACCCTCACACGCCCCCTCACACCCTCACACGTACCCTCGCACACCCTCACACGCGCCCTCACACAACCCCTCACACACTTACACACCCCATCACATCCCCACACACCTCGCCCCACCCTCACACGCCTCTTCACACCCTCACACACGCTCACGCCCCCTGACATCCCGTCACACCCTCACACACCCCCTCACACCCCGACACATCCTCTCACATCCCTTCACACCCAGTTCCATCCACTCACACTTCCTCATATACCCTCACACACCCTTACACCACCTCACAGCCCCTCACACCCCGTCCCTCCCCTTCACACACCCCCTCATGCCCCCTCACATCCCGTCACACCCTCACACACACCCTTTCACACTCATACACCCCGTCACGCCCTCACACACCTCCTCACACCCCATCCAACACCATCACACCCCCTCACACCCCATCCCACCCCCTCACACGGCCTCACACCCTCACATCCCCTCATACTCCGTCCCACCCACTCACACGCCCTCGCATCCCCTCACATCCCCTAACACCTCCTCACAAGCTGTCCCATCCCCTCATACCCTCACACAACCCCTCACACTCCCGCACACCCCCTCACACCTCGTCACATCCACTCACACCCCGACACATCCCCTCACATGCCCCTTCACACCTTCACACACACCCTCACGCCCCCTCACATGCTGTCACACCCTCACACACACCCTCACACCCCGACACATCCTCTCACACCCCATCCCATTCCCTCACACGCCTTCACACCCCGTCCACCCCTTCACACCCCGTCCCATCCCTTCACACCCCCTCATATCCCCTTACACACCCTCACACCACCTCACACCTCGTTCCATTCCCTCACACGCCTTCATACCCCGTCCACCCCTTCACACCCCGTCCCATCCCCACACCCTCATATCCCCTTACACACCCTCACACCCCGTCCCTCCCCCTCACACACCCCCTCACACACCCCATCATGCCCCCTTCACATACTGTCACACCCTCACTCACCCCCTCACACACCCCCTCATATCTCCTCACACACTCGAATTCAAGATCCTCATCCTCACCTACAAGGCCATTCACGGCCTCGCTCCCTCCTACCTCTCCGACCTACTATCCCCCTACTTACCTGCCCGTACCCTCCGTTCCTCCGGCTCCGGTCTGCTCCACATCCCCCGCCCCAACCGCCCTACCATCGGTGGACGGGCCTTCAGCCTCTCAGCCCCGAGGCTCTGGAACTCTATCCCCAGTGCCTTCGCCACTTCCTCCCTTTCCTCCTTCAAGGCCGGTCTACAACCTTTCTCTTTGACTATGCCTTCACCTCCCCTCTCGACTTTCTACCCCCTCCTCGCTCCCTCCCTTCCCTCCCCTCACCCTGACCATTTCCCCCCAATGCTCGGGTCCCGACCCAACTGTCCAGCGCCTTGGGACGTGCTCCCGACGTGAAAGGCGCTCTCTAAATGAAATCTTGTTGTTGTTGTTCACACCCCGTTACATCCGCTCACATCGCCTCACATCCCCTCACACCCCCTCACATCTCCTCATATGCCCTCACACCCCGTCCCACCCCGTCACATCCCTTCACACCCCCTCACATCCCGTCAAATCCCCTCACACCCACAATCACAACCCATCACACCCCGTCACATCCCCTCACACCCGCACTCACACCCACTCCAGGAATTAGTACTAATAATGCTTGCAATTGCTACAGTGCCTTAGCATGCCTTTCAGTCTGAAAGCGCTTCATAGGATCCACTGTGAGGGGGGGACAAGGAGCTCAGTTGGATTGAGACTAATTAAACAACTTGTCAGATATCCACATTGTGCAATGGTAACAATAACTAGATCCCCATAGATGGCAGAACAATAACTGTTTTAAATAGATCTTTAATGTCAATGAACAAAATGAGATTGAAATAACTTATTTACAGAGAGAGACGCCTGAGATCCCATGACACACTCGTCATTGTGTTCCAGATCTCACCTGCCAGCTGTCGCTCCGTCTACAAACCATTGTCCAGATCCATTTCCTGCAGTGACATAAGCCAAGTTAGAGAGCCCAGGGCTGGGTACCACAGTGTGTTTATTGACTGTCCAGGTGTCTGATACATGCGGAATGTCATCACTAAGCTTAAGAGTATCCAAACCAAACAGATTTTCATGCATCTCATGTAGGTGGAATCCTGTATTTTAGTGGTTAGAGCACTCGCCTTGCAAGAGAGAGGACTTGGGTTTGATTTCCAGGCAGGGAAAAACACTGAGTAAGTTTACCTAGTGGTAAGTTGGAACCCAGCTGTTAGTCGATTGGCAGATTGCTTTTCCAAGGATAATAATCCCTTAAAAATATATATATATATATAAATAATAATAATTTGCTCACTGAATCCCAAACTGTTAGTGCGACGCTTCTGTGAGCAATTGGCTTCCGCGTTTTTCCCACAAAATATAGTCAATTCACTTTACAGTGTGTTCTGTGAAGTGCTTTGGGATGTCCTCCCGACGTGAAAAGCACTATATCAAATGCATAGATTATTATTATTATTATTAAGATGAAACAGAAAATTAGGTTTATGATAAATGACAGGTTTATACCACAGTAGAGAACTGAAAAAGGGAATAAGAGAGGCAAGGAGAGTATATGAGAAAAGATTAGCAGGTAACATAAAAGTGAATATTAAGGTCTTTTATAAACACGTTAAGAGTATGTGAATAAAAGATGATCAAAGGAAGCCGATTCAGGACCAAAAAGAAAAACTTATTATAACAATAATAATCTTTGCATTTGATATACCTCCTTTTTATGTCTTTGAGATCTCAAAGCGCTTCACAGAATATACTGTAAAGTGTAGTGACTGTATATTTTGTAGACGAAACACGGCAGCCAATTGCACACAGCAGTGTCCCATAAACAACAACAACAACAAAATAACACGTGTTAAGTGCCTTTCACGTCGAGAGAACGTCCCAAGACGCTGGACAATCAGTGATTCAAACCCGAGCTGAGGGTCGGGATCGGGGAGGGTGGAGGGCAGGGGTGGAAGGAGGGTGACCGAAGGCACGGTCGAGGAGAAGGGTCTTGAGATCGGTCTTGAAGGAGGCGAGGGAGGGGGCAAGGTGGAAGAACTGCAGGCTGGAGTTCCAGAGTAGCAGAAGGCCCACCCGCCAATAGTAGGGTGAGCGAGGCGGGGGATGTGAAGCAGGCCGGAGCCCGCTGAGCGGAGGGAGCGAACAGGATGGTAGGAGGTCAGGAGGTGGCAGACGTTGGGGGGAGCAAGACTATGGAGGGCTTTGAAGGTGAGGACCAGGATCTTGAACTGTATCCTCTGTGTGATGGGAAGCCATTGGAGATGGGTGAGGATGGGGGTGATAGGGTCACGGAGCCTAATGTGGGAGAGGACACGGGCTGCAGAGTTAGTTCTGGATGATCTGCAGTCAGTGGAAGGAGGAGTTGGGGGCCGACAGGCAGGGAGTTTGCATAGTCGAGCCTCGATGTAATGAAGGGGTGTGTTTCCACCCTTCAGTCGGGTTTCCGTGCTGCCCATAACACAGAAACTGCCCTGGTCAAGGTCACCAATGACATCCTGACCGTCTGCGACCAGGGCTCCCTCTGCCTCCTCGTCCTCCTCGACCTATCGGCAGCATTCGATACGGTCGACCACGCTATCCTCCTCCAGCGCTTGTCCTCCCACCTCAACCTTCAAGGCCCTGTCCTTGAGTGGTTTAGGTCGTATCTCTCCCACAGTCTTCACTTTGTTTCCACAAATGGCTTTTCCTCCCCCCCCCACCCCCCGCACTGTCTCGTGCGGTGTCCCTCAGGGCTCTGTCCTCGATCCCCTCCTCTTCACCCTCTATATGCTCCCCCTGTGGTGACATCATCCACAGACATGGGGTTCACTCCCATATGTATCCGGATGACACCCAACTCTACCTTTCCTCCTCTACCCTCAACTCCACGACCCCCGATGTCCTGACAGCCTCCCTTCCGACATCGAGTCCTGGACGAGAGACAACTTTCTTCAGCGCAACGTGAGCAAAACCGAGGCCCTCCTGATTGGCTCACGTCAGCGCCTCCGCACCTCAGGCGCTGACAGCATCAGCTCCGCACTCTCCACCTCTCAAAGCCATCAGGAACCTCGGGGTTCTGTTCGACCCTGAGCTGTCCTTTCTCCCTCATATCCGCACCACAACTGGCACCGCCTTCCATCACCTCCGGAATGTCGACAGAGACTACGGCACTACCTCACCCCTCACGTGGCTGAAACTCTGGTCCACGCCTTTGTCACCTCAAGGCCGGACTATGGGAACTCTCTCCTCGCCGGCCTTCCCGGCCCTCCCTCCACACTGCAGGTCATTCAGAACTCTGCAGCTCGTGTACTGTCCCGCACCAGACACCGCGACCACATCACTCCCAGCCTCGTCCTCACCCTCGCTCGCCTCCACTGGCTCCCCATCCCCCAGAGGATTGAATTCAAGATCCTCATCCTCACCTACAAGGCCATTCACGGCCTCGCTCCCTCCTACCTCTCCGACCTACTATCCCCCTACCTACCTGCCCGTACCCTCTGTTCCTCTGGCTCCGGTCTGCTCCACATCCCCCGCCCCAACCGCCCTACCATCGGTGGCCGGGCCTTCAGCCTCTCAGCCCCGAGGCTCTGGAACTCAATCCCCCAGTGCCTTCGCCGCTTCCTCCCTTTCCTCCTTCAAGGCTGGTCTCAAGACCTTTCTCTTTGACCGTGCCTTCAGCTCCCCTCTCAACTCTCTACTCCCTCCTCGCTCCCTCCCTTCCCTCCCCTCACCCTGACCATTTCCCTCCTGCTCGGGTCCTGACCTAACTGTACAGCGCCTCGGGACGTCCTCCCAACATGAAAGGTGCTCTATAAATGGAATCTTGTTGTTGTTGTTGTTGTTGTGTGAGGGTCTCGGGGGCCTGCGGTGTGAACAGTGCCAGAGCCAGGTGATGTTGCGGAGGTGGGGAAGGCAGAGCGGGTCATGGCGTGGATGTGGAGTAGACAGGACAGTTAAGGGTCAAACAAGACCCCAAGGTTCAGTACCGGCTCAGTGAGGGGGAGTGAGCCCCATGGATGGTGATGCTGTCAGCGCCTGAGGTGAGGAGGCGCTGACGGGAGCCAATCAGGAGCCTCGGTCTGGTTGACGTTCAACTGAAGAAAGTCTCATCCAGAACTTGATGTCTGACAGACATTCTGTGGGTCCTGGAGTCAAGGGGGGAGGCAGAGAGAGAGAGTTGGGTGTCATTTGCATACATATGGAAGTTGACCCCATGTCTGTGGATTATCATAGAATCATAGAATCATACAGCACAGAAAGAGGCCATTTGGCCCATCGCATCTGCGCCGGCTCCGAAAAGAGCTTTCAACTCAATCCCACTGGCAGCTTTCTCCCCATAGCCCCACAATGTTGTCCTCCCAAACACCCATCTACATCTCTCTTAAAAGTTGTTATTGAATCGGCTTCCACTGCTCTTCCAGGTGATGCATTCCAGATCCCAACACCTCGCTGAGGGAAACACTTTTTCCTAACCTCCCCTCTGTTTCTTTTAACAACTATCTTAAATCGGTGTCCTCGGGTTACTGACCCACATGACAGTGGGAACAGTTTTTCTCGGTTCAACCTATCAAATGCTCTCATGATCTTGAAAACCTCTATTAAATCCCCTCCTAATCTTCTCTGCTCTGGGGAGAATAATCCTAGTTTCGCTAACCTCTCCTCATAACTAAGGTCCTTCATTCCTGGTACCATCCTGGTGAACCTCCTTTGCACCCTCTCCAATCCCATCTTTCCTAAAGTGCGGTGCCCAGAACTGAACGCAGTATCCAACTGAGGCCTAACAGCATTTTATACATATTCAACATAACCTCCTGACTTTTGAACTCTATGCCCCTATGTATAAAGCCGAGTATCCCGTATGCTTTTTTAACAGCTTTATTACCTGTCCTGCCACCTTCAGAGATTTGCTGATGTGGACCCCCAGGTCTCTCTGTTCATTTGCCCCCTTTAAGATTGTACCATCAGCTTACACTGCCTCTCCTCAATCTTCCTACCAAAATGCAACACTTTGCATTTCTCCACATTAAACCTCATCTGCTACATTTCTGCCCATTTTACCAATCAGTCTAAGTCCTCTTGGAGTCTGGTGCTATCCTCCTCACCATTAACCACTCTTCTTAGCTTAGCATCGACTAAAAATTTGGAAATTGTGCTCCCTATATCCAGGTCCAGATCATTAATATAGATCAGAAAGAGCAGTCGTCCTAATACCTACCCCTGAGGGACATCACTACACACCTCCCTCCAGTCAGAAAATGATGTCACCATACAGATGTTGAAGAGGAGGGGACCAAGGACAGAGCCTTGAGGAACGCCGCATGAGACAGTGGGGGGAGCTAGAGGAGAAACCGTTTGTGGAGATGAAGTGTGAGCTATGATCTGAAACAGTCAAGGACAGAACCATGAAGGTTGAGGTGAGAGGAGAGGCGGTGGAGGAGGATAGAGTGGTCAATAGTATCAAAGACAGCAGAGAGGTCAAGGAGGCCGAGGAGGCAGAGGGAATCGTGGTCGCAGATGGACAGAATGTCATTTGTCACTTTGACCAAAGCTGTTTCTATGCTGTGGGCGGCACGGAAACTCGATTGGAGGGCTTCATGAAGGGAGGGCAGGAGAGGAAGGAGTGAAGCTGGGAAGCAACGACTAGTTCCAAGACCTTGGGCAGAAAAGGTAGATTGGAGATGCGGCTGTAGTTTGAGAACAGGGATGGGTCCAGGGAAGGTTTT